AACAGGAATCCAGAAGCCCCAAATGAAATTCTAAGCAGGAAGTGTACTTTGACAATTGATTTTTGCATCTACAGTCTGACTTCTTAATCTATTACAGCCTAGTTTGCTGTACTCTTTTCACAAAAAGGAATATATTGTCCCTGTTACATTTATGGTCCTGGATTTGAACAGCAGCTAAAATCATTCTGTATTCAAAACAGCTAACATACTGGGGGGGGAAAAAGAGTTCCGAACTCTTCCTTGTGCTGTCAAAAGGGGACTGCACAGCAGACGTCTTGCTAAATTTGGGGGACATCACTCCTTACTGACCCTGCTATGGAATCCGTAGGTATGAGGTTTTATAGACAATACAAAAGTTATTATCTACAAATGATTTTCTGCCTTGTAGAAATTTAAAACTGAAATAAGAACAAAGCTCTGCTTCTCTCCTAGATCAGTAGTGACACCTAGTGCCCAAAGACTAAAGGAACCGCGCTCCAGAGGAGCCGATTTGCACTGGGCTGGATTGCACTACCAAAACTGTAGGGTGTGGCAGGACATAAACCAAATAAAAGACGACATTAGCTATGGGGCGATTTAAATTTACACAGAAACGCTACATTTCCTTTAAAGAATAATGTTCTGCAAAAGAAAAAGAAAGGAAGGGATGTTTTCATAAGCAGGAAAGAAACTGGACAAGTAGAAGATAATTATTCATTGAAACGCAGGAAGGCTCTGGGGCAGAGCATTCCTACACATGAATGATGTCCACAGTACAGGGAACAATCCCTAGTTCTAAAAATCTAACTTTTATATCTCATTCAGAAAGGATAACTACCAGAAAAGTGTGTAACTGCTCCTTATTATGGTCCAGGTTCTTGTTGATAAAGAAGAGTCTCACCAACATAGCTATAGTACAGTATGTTATTCCACTCGCCCTACATCAGAGCAGATCTTTCTATATCTGGCCATACTAAATAGAATAAAAGCAGAATAAAAATTACTTGGTTACTGATCATTACCTGAATCAATGACTTGTGGTTGCAGGGCAATGCTGAAAAGACTAGTCTTCTCAAAATATGTTGTTATACATTTTATAATATATGGCTTGGGAAGTGCTGTGGATTTGTTCCACAATTAGGTAGCTGGTCCCAGCCTCTAAGCCACCTTTACTTTGTGCTATGTTATCCACACAGTAACCTCTTATGGAAACAGGCTTTGCCCCTGGTGGAAAGGATGCCACTTTCAACATGAAAATCACTTTTTTCCCTGGGTTTTCACCAGGTTTATGATTTGTAAAATGCTCTGCACTGCACTTGAAATAGAAAAAGTTTATAAGATGCCCAGGAATAATGTTAGGAGACATTTCAGAGGAAGAGAAGGGGAAAAAGTGATTTTAAGGAAGAAAAACCAGGGCAAACTCCAAAGCAGAAGAGATTAGCAGAAAACCACTGCACTCTAGATCAAAAGACAAATGTACATTTCAAAAGTGGAGCCAACTCCTTATGCAATATATCTCACACTATATACTAGAAGAAATATTTTTTAGTCTCATAGGAACAAGTGGAAGTTGAAGCCTTTATCAGTCTCCTTTATCTTCACTTCGTGCTCATGTCTCAGAGATAGTGACTCCAAGCTTCAGCACAGTAGAGATGCAGGCTTGTAATGTCCAAACTGGAGAAGCCATGCAGGTTCATGCAAGGAACTCTAATAGCTGAGAAAGAGCTTGGGTGAAAGGAGACACATCTATGACCAGCAGCAAAGAGATCATGAACCATACAGACGGAAAAACCTACAGAGATTCTGTGAGTTTTCAAGACAGATGCACCAGAAAAGTGTTCAGAAATACAAAAGAATGCTATATTCTTTTTCAAGAAATGTTCTTTTCTTTCAATGTTCTTTGAATTTCTGAGATAAGGAATAGTGGGGACTGATGGCATCAATGAAAAAACAAAACAAACAACCCACACAATGACTGGCAGTGTCAAAAATACATGTCTTGTTATACCCAAAAGAAATCTGCTCACAAAAAGTGATCTGCCCCATATCCCATTGGAATTCACTTGTGCTCCTACCTGTACCACAATCTAGTATGCAACCCCCTCAAAGAGGGAGGAAAAAATTCCAGCAGAGACCAATTTATTATCCCAATCTAATAGCCCTGGAAAAGTCCTCAAAACAAGCACAAAGATCAGAGAAAGGGAAAGCTCCCCTGTTTCACTCATTATGGCTTTTTCTCACTGCCTGCAAGATAACTAGAAACTGGCCAGTTACCTTGGCCTGTTTGGTACAGAATAGAGGTGAGTTTGAAGAGGAGTAAAAGTTTTTGTTGATTCAATCTGCTAGCAAGACAGTGGTTACTTTTAAATGGAGAAGCAGCATAGAGTTCTGAACTCAAGAAAACTGCTGTGTGACTGGTCTTTGATAAGAAGCTTTCACCCTGGCCCTGAGCCTCTGTAGTATAGCTAAGGGATCCATGGGAAATGAAATATAGACATTATTTGACCTTTATGGAATTTCTAAGAGTCAGAATCACTACTGAAAAACCTTTAGGGGTCCACAAAAATGAACAACAATGACAGCCATTGCCTTAAATTGGCAGGTCTTTAGTTTTATTCCTGCCTTCCTAGGCTGGCTGTGACCTTACAGATAGTTCACTGGGACATGTTTGAGGTTAAAATAATCAGCTATATATTGTAACATCTCCTATTTATACCTTAGGTTGAAGTCAACTTGATTGTATCTTGCATTAAGATTTGCAGCCTTCTCCATGTGGTATCTTTCTTTATCAATAGTGAAAGAATGGTCAATATCTATTCACAGCATAATTTATGTACTTGCTAATTACTGTAATTGCATCTGAAGTGAGGTGATCACACACTTGTTAGCTCCAATTACAGAAAAACCATTAGTCATAGCTTTATAGTACAGAATAGGTGTTGCAGGTATTAAATAGATGCTTAGCTTATTGCTGTACAACTCCTGTTATATCAGTGTGAGTACCTTAAATATCCAGAGGTTATAGCCTCTGCTGTTTTTCAGTTTTGTGATCTGAAATGCTGAATTGCAAAAAAACCCAGGTGCACATGCACTAGGGTGATGAAGGGAGAGAGATTATCTTGAATTTTCATAAAATGATATATACATAGTTCAATAAGAAAGCCCTTTACCTTCCGTGTAAAAATTCAAGTTTTCCCCCGAATGAAACAGAACATTAAGATTCAAGAACATAACCTTGTAATCAGATCTATTATTTCTTTGCATCAACTCTTAGATTCTTTCCTATGTGTTTTTTTGCCTAATGATCTTATCATTAAGTTCAACAAAATTGAGTGTAATGTACTGAAAATACACTCAGCTGATATTGAACTTGTTGATGAGGAGTGTAGGCCTGTTAAAATTGACAAAACTGACAAGTTCTCTATTCCCCCTTACTTTATTGCTCTCTGGTTCGATGTGTAGCTTTGCAAGCAAAAAACCTTTATTGCTTGGTGGTTGAAAAGAAAGGTCATACTCAGGAATACATTTCATTAGTCATGATTCTTTTATCAGTTTTCCTCTTTGATGTAAATTAGAATTTGTTAACGGTATGTAGGTGCAAAGGCAAAAAATAGAAATATTTCATGGAGTTCTAGAGACTATCACTGACAAACTAAGGTCATAATTCTATTTTTATATCAGGGAGGTGATATTTTCTTAAAAATATTTTCTTGGAGATGCAGGAGCAGCAGAGACATCAGCAAAAATTTATGCTTTGGTTTTAGTGGTGCAAGCACTGCTAGACTGAGTGCTAAATGCATGGGTTGCTGCCCAAATTGTTTTTGCTGAAAAACCACTGGAAGACCTAGTTCACCACGTGACCCCAAACCAGCTACACTCATGCAGCAGAGGGTAGACATGCAGAACTGTGAGCAAAAAGCCAGGAAGAAGAATGGTACATTGGCTAAACCCAGAAGGTCAAGACCATATTTCTAAGCAGTAAAATTCTACCAAGAAAGTCTGTGCTAACTTTAATTATTGAGACCACCTCAATACTTTATGGAACTATGAGAACCACATCTATCCACAAAGATATTTGGTGATCTGTTTCAACAACCTGTAAGCTGCCATAAAAGCAGCACATGCGAGGGAAGTAAATTAGTGCAGAAATGTCTATATAGACCAATGGAAAGAAGTGTTCAAAACAATTTAACAACTATCAGAACTGCCAAAGTTATTCTGCCCTTCCTGATGCTGTCTGTTTCCAGGGTCAAATCAAGTTATAGCCAACACAGTCTGTGCCAAACCTCGGAAAAAATATGGAAGCACTTCACTCATTTAAAAAAATGTTAAACATTAATAATCCAATAAATAGGCTAGAAAAATACAATATAACTAATTCCTAAATATCTACACATTCATTTAGGCTCCTAGTTCAAAATATCCAAGACTTTGCCATTACACATTACACAAGTCAAAAGAGTATTTTACCAATCACAAAACAAAGAACCTCAAAATGAACAAAAGTTGCTTTATACGTTGTGATTATCATGGCAATATTAAATCCTGTTCATGTACCCTTTTCAATATCTGATTCCCCTCAGCCCTTTTCCAGTCCAACCAGAATCAGGACTATATCCTTTACCTCTCCTAGAATCCTTACACTTGCTCTAAAAGGAGTCACAGACGGATTCTTCACTCAAAGTTATCAGCATAATATGTGTTAAAATCATCAAGAGAAAAGTACTTTAGCAGCCCAAAGTTTTATTGAGCAGTACCTTTCCAGCCTCACTCCAACAAGATCTCTAGGCCTGATGGATTGAATCTGCCCAGCTTGAAATGGGGACTTTCAAGACTGACATTAATGCCTCCTATCTGGCAAAATCTGAATATTTAATATATCCTTACAGAAAAGCAGGGTGCCAAGATCTCTCAGATAATTAGAGATTTGGTCACAGATCTTCCCTTAGCATTGACACAGTCTTTAACTTTGTATGGGGAAAAGAATTGTCAGAAACTTTCAGACCTTTAGAATAACTTACCACATGTCTCAGGGAATCCCGGCTGGATCCTGTGAATTGTGGTGACACTACCACTTCTGAGTAAACTACACCTGTAAATCCACCAGAAAGGTTTCAAAATGAACTGCTACCAGCTTACCAGTCCCTCTGCTTTCCACAGATTTGAGCCAAAGCACCCAGGCCTATTTAGCCACTGAGAAACAAACCTTGAATGAGGTCTAAGTTTCTGTTTCCCATTAGTATCATTTGTAAGCAACATTTTTGCCCACAGGAAATGTTACAAAGTTGCCTCCAATTTCAAATTAGGGCCTACTTCTGCATTAAGTTGAAATCTTTCACGTGACTGAGGTGTAGTCAGATAAGGTGTGGTCAATGCTGTCAACAGACACCTGAAGATGAGTGAACTTTCTCCTCCTGTGTTTGCTTTGCAAAGTAAAGGGATCACTTTCCAGCTGCAGCTCAGATTGATGTAATCCATTCCTTCCTTGCTCCTAAAACAGACTACAACAGGCTACTCTTGTCCACTCAAACTTCAGCTTCTAGAGTTCCTCTCCTCAATAATTCTCATGTGCAACAAGAGATAGTTGTGCTTCCCACATCTGCTGTGGTCTTGGATTTGTTTGGATTAATAAAAATTCTGATTCTGTGGAAAACAGCTAATTATATCACTGTGATCACTCAAGTAGCTGAGAAAAGAGGGAGTTCTCTGGCTTGCAACCCTCAGATTTAAATACTTCAAGATCAAGCATGAATTTGGCTCCTGATCTTACACTTTATTCTGGTTTTTGAATGGGTAGAACATCCAACGAACTCTAAAATGTAGATTTTTGTGTGTCTGCTTCTAGTACTGTTTTGGTCCTACCTCATTCCCCAAGAATTTTAGACAAATTCTTGTACTTGCAACCCAAACTACAATCAAGTACATTGAGAAAAAAATGTGATTAAAAAAAATAAATAGAGCAGACTGAAATAAAAAGTATTATTAAAGAGCAAAGGCAGATGACAATCTGAAATTAACATCTTATTTTTCAAAATAGCACAGTGTTTTCCATTTAAACTATTGTTTTCTGTTCTTTTACATTTTTCAATTCTGCTTTCAAGTAAAAGTATACTGAATAAAGATTTGTTGCAGAGAAGTACACCCACAATAACACTACATTTAATTTTATCCTGCTTGCTTTGCTAAAACTTTTTGTATTCTTTAGTCTTTTCTTATTTTCTTATTTCTTGACAGCTGACAATCACACACAAAATGGGAAGTCCTCCTTGTGCTATTTGTACCCTATGGAACATAAGTGCCTCCTAACACTGCAGCTGTGTGGCAGACACGCAATATAATTGTTTAATGCAATTTAGTCAAGAACAGCTAAAGAAGGAAAAACCTTACTTAGGAAAAATGAGAGACAGATTCCAACTTTGTTCATTAAGGTTTAAAGAAAAGTGCTTTATATGCCTAAATGACTGCCTTGGCATGGTGTACTCCTTTCCAAGTCCTGAATTTCATGCCTTTTTTTCTTTCTGAAGCTGATTTCAATCTTGGACAGCATCCACCTAGAATTACTTGTATGTTTTTAATTTCTCCTTTGACTACAGAACTTAAACAAACAAGTTTAGCTGGGTGGACTTAATCAGAAACAGATAAAAAGTTTTGAAAATGTAAAGTAAGTATGATAAATGCACCAAAGGCAACTTTCATTCATTTGCTCTTCCTTTATTTCTGTTACTGGATATTTTAACACTCAGGTCTCTCAAAGACCTAAAGTAAAAAGAAATGAGCACCAAGGATATTGAACTTACATATCAAATTCTTTCCAGAAATCCTATATGAAAAGAGAGCCAAATGGAGTTTGTTGTCTCTTGCTAATGAACTAGATAAAGTTGAAAATGAGTCCAAGGTAAACTGGAGATAAGTAAACTATCATAGATTTCAAGAACAGGAGCTTGACTCCTCTGGTATTACCTAATGGTCTTTTAATGCCCTAAATTGTTCTTTGTTCTTTACTACCTCAAGACAAGACTGATTTATTACAACAGTGTTACCACCACTTTAGAATTTCAATTTATTGCAACAGAACAAGGTAAGTTGTTTGAAAAAAATTGAACTCTCTCTGCAGACAAAAACCTTGAGACCTTTAGATCTGATATTGGGGTCTCCTAGTTTCTAAAATCCTGGGTTCTTGGTCTTACCATTGAAATAAATCTCCTGGACCAGACTCAACTGACATGAGAAGATTAGGTCTGCAATGAAAATGACTTATGAATTCAGTAAGTTCATCTCAGTAAAAAAAACTTAGTCATGTAAAAATTAAGGGCTCATTATACTTCTACATAAATTCAATTCAGAATATGTGCACTAAACAAGCATATTCAACCTTCCATTTTGGGGGACCTCATTTAAATATACCTGTGCCTACAACTGGTCATTAAGTGTGTTAGAAATTGAAGCTTTATTGAATTCCTAGCTTTGTCATTGTCAATTGGCACTCTGCTGTTGACTTATGTAGAATTGGGATTTCATCCAAGACACTACAATCTAAGACATGTTCTTCGGAGTTTCAGCTGCCACATTTATCACAAGAGGGTTTTATCTTGAAATTATAAAAGGTGAGATTGTACAATTTATTTTTTTTCACTGCTAATAATTTTTATTATTGTGTTTATCTATAAATGTTGAATCAAACAACACAGAAGTAGAGATTCCAGGCTTGCAGACTGTCATGTATTTGCATAGGCAAATAATTTTGCACATTATATTCATTAGAAAAATAGACAGAAAGAAAATAAAAAGTAACAAAATCCTCTGTTCCTTACAGTGTGCTTAGAACAAGGAAAGAAATTCCTCCCCATAATCCAAGTAGTAACTACCAAATAAGACTAAATAGCCTCCAACAATTTTCCAAGAGCCAAAAGCACCAATCATTCCACAACCAGATGTCTAATCCTTCTTCTCAACTTGTAACAATTTCTACAATACAGTTATGTGTTAGTCAAACAAAACAGACACAATACAAAACCTCAGGCATGGAGAAATGGAAAGAAGAATGTGGAATAACTAGTGAATACATTATAGTGGAGCCTTTGCAACCCAAGACTTGCCTATATTTCACCCACATCCCTGCAGAGGTATCAGTATGTGTAACAGAATATAATATCTTCCCTTATAAACCTTCCCTATGCTATTCAGTATTGATCAGAAATTGTCCCTTTTTAAAATGTGATGGTAGAAGGACTACAAAAGACCTACTAAGTGAAATAACTGCATTCTACATGAACTGCCCCCTAAACCAGAGAGGAGGAAATCAAAGTACAGCTGGAGAGTCGTTTCAGTAAAGAAGTCATAGCTCAAATACTGAGTGTAACAGAAATTCTCAGGCATGATCACAAAAATATCAGCTGATGCAACTATGAGGATGTTTCAAACTGTTGTATTGTAATTTTCACATATCAAAAAAAGTAGAGGCAAGGACGAGAGGTGATCAGCAGGTAATGGAATGTCCTCAACTTCCTCTTTGCTTAGCTTACAGGAATTCTTACCAAAAAATGATTATAAAAAAAATCCCATGTTCCTGAACAGTTATGCCTATAGATTTTATTGTACTGTGGGGCACAGCACATCACTCATTACTGACTACAGAAATATCCAGGGAGTTCTTCTTTTTTGTCAACTCTCAGCATATTTCTACTATTCATGTGTTAAAACAAATTTTTTCCAATCTTCCCTCAGAAATAGTTTGTGGATAAATATTGATGTCCATGTTTCCCTTTACACTGTCACACACTTACATGTGAACATGTAACAGTTCACATACAGATGTTTATTTTCCCCAGCCATCTGTTCCATCTGAAACAAAAGAGATCACAGAAAATGAACTCCCACTGTAACTCTTTCTGAATACATAAACAACTGGGTTCTCAACAAAAAGCCTGTCGGTTTTCACAATGTATTGGAAAAGATTGCACTTTATGGATGACTCAGAAAGTCAGATCCCTGGTCTGAACAGTGGGGAATATTGGTGAGACAATAATGAAAAAATGGTGAGTGATCATGCGATAAGGGAGCATACAGATCATGCTAAAATTTTTACTTGCAGGATGGTGTTCTGTGTATTTTTTTTTTCTTTATAGTTATAGGTGTTTGGGTTTTTTTCTTTTTCAGACAAACCCACAGCTGAGAACTGAATTGGACATAAGCAGATGCAGTGAAGGGCAATAAAGTGAAAGAAATGGATTTAATGAGAGACTTGAAGAGGGAGTGTGGTGGATAGTGCCAATATATAAGACTGTTTTCAACTGCAAGGAAGCATTGCCCTGCACTGGCCCATAAAGCCTGAGTCACAAAGCAGCAGCCAGGTAAGAGGCACATGCAGAGGGGGTATGAAAGGGGAATAATAAGGTCTGAAAGAGGTATACACAATAGTATGCAAAAAACAATAACAAGAAAGAATTCTAATTTGGGAAGACCATTAAGAAGTATTCAAATTTTAGTCAATGAGAAAAAAAAGGAGAGAACCATACAAGAGTAAAGTTTCTAGTGAAATCTGTTAACTCTGTTAAGAAGAAAGTTCAGTACTTGGTGTGACTGGAAGACAGTAGAGGAAAGTGAAAAGAAGACACAGCTGCAATGGTACTGTCAGAGAACTGGTTCTCATGAATACAATGAGATTCTGTCCACCTGGAAATAGTTCTTATCCATTCCTGCCTCCTGACCATATATCTGCATGGAAACTGTACCTTTATTTGTTTCCTGACCACAGCTGTCCAAGGCTGTTCCAAACTTTGGTCCTGAAAGTTTTAGAATGCCCTCAACCTAGAAACTGAGCAGGTATAAATAGTTTGCCTAAGGTATGATCTGCTCCCAAATAAATGAACATAAGTAGATTCAAATCTCACTGAAGAAGAAAACAGCAACACCTTGAGCCAAATAAGTTCACTGTAACTACTGATTATTTACACTCATATATCAAGTCAAATTTCCTCACACACCAGTCCAGTTCTCACTACAGGCTCCACTTGGCTCTTAACACATTAGCTCATGTACTCCTGCATAGGAATGGATATAGCTATACCATAAACCTGACTTCAGGATGAAAATTTTCCACTTTTCACTCTCTGAAACTAAAAAAAACAGACAAAACATGAAATTTCATATGATTGAGCCAATCAAATTCATGTCCTGATACCTGCAGTCAGGCTTTAAACCAGAACTGTACTTGAGGACTAAAATACA